CTGTGTCATTCTAGAGTAATTTTTTTCTTATATGACAGTACAAATTCATGACCTTGCTAACCTTCTGTGACATCTGAGCATTAATATAGCTAATATTCACTAACAATACACTGGGAACATGCTAAGCATTTCACATATAGTATTTTAGCTAAACCTTACAGCAGTCCTGTAAGACAGGTGCTATTTTCTGACCAGTGTTTTACAGATGGGACTCTGGAGGCCAAGTTTACTACCACTGGGCTTATTTTCATATATTTTTTTTTCTTTTGTACCTAGAGGACCCTTACAGAGGTCCATAGCTGCGGGTGGCTGAGGCCATGCACCTCCCACAGTACTCAGAAAAGGCATGGGCTGGGTGAGGAAGCGAAAGGGGTCAGAAAAGCAATGTTAGATACTAAGGGTAAAGTGGGGATCAGGCAAGAATACAGACAACATGCTGGGGGTTTAGCTCAGTGGCGTTAGTGCCTGCTTGGTAAACACGAGGTCATGAGTTTGATCCCCGGCACCAAAAAAAAAAAAGAATACAGACAACATTCTTGATTACGACAAATAGATTTTCTAGGCCAGAAGCTGTTTTCTAGGAGAGAAGAGTCTGAGCCACCGAGATTGTAAATAGGAGAAAAAGGGTTTCCTAAGAGGGAAAATTTAAGAATTAGCATTTGTTTGAAGATAACTGCAAAATTTGGAAATGCAAAACAAGAATTTGTGAGAAAATCTTCAAGATTTGGTGCAAGAGGGGATTTAGCTCAGTGGCATAAGCGCTTGCCTGGCAAGCACAAGGTCCTGAGTTTGATCCCCAGTACCAAAAAAAAAAAAAAAGATTTGGTGCAAGAGAAGGCAGAGTATGAATGGATGAACACTTAAAGCTGGTGAGATTCCTCTGGAAGCTAGCATCTGCTTGGGCTTTACTTTTAAATTCTAATTAATCATTCAACTCCTGAACACGTGGTTGTTCTGTTTAGGTTTATATAGTCTGAAAGCTTTTTCTTGATCTGTAAACATCTAACTGGAAAATACTCAGTGAATCATGTTCCACTATTGAGCACTTAATAAATATGTGTAAGCATAGGGAACTGAGATTACCGCTAGGGCACAGCATGCGTTATGAACACACTCAAGATCACAAGAGCCCGCTCTTCACATGTGCGTTTGCGTACTTACTGTAAGTCTGACCAATATTTCTATAAAGTCATGAGAAGTTCTACATCCGTCATATCGTTGCAACCTTATCTTGCCCCAAAGGCCTCAAGCCTGAAAACAGTGAAGAATTAATTGTAAAGCGTTGGTGAGGGGTGTAGCTCAGTGGCAGAGCATGCACTTGGTTGTGATGCCCCGAGTTCAGTCCTCTAATGACAGCACCAATAGCAAAAGAACTTCAGAGCACTCTTCAGACTCCGTATACACTTCATCATCAGCCTGATGAAATTACAGCTTATTTTAGCTAAGGTGTTATCTCTTTCCCACCCATCATTGTGGTTCCTTTTCTGTTTTTCTCAGTACTAAGAAAGCCATGTGACATTATACGAAATCTGTGCAAATACTTAACAGTTTTTTGGGGGTTTTTTTCAAGTTTTTTTTAAAAGAAGGATTTTTTAAAATGTATTGCATGCCACAAATGACTCAATGATTATGATAATTTGGAGTGTATAAATCTTCATGAAACAAGTTACAAATTTTTTTTTGAGGAATGTGGGTGTGGGTGTGTGTGTTGGGGGTTGAGACAGGGTCTTGCTATGCAATTCAGGCTTGCCTTGAATTCACTTTGTAGCCCAGGATGCCCTGGAACTCAAAGCTATCCTCCTACCTCAGCTTCTTCAATGAGATTCTGTATTTTGTCACTGAAAGTGTTTTTACAGTAGTCCTCTATAATGGGCTCGATTTTAGAACTTTACAGTATTATGTTTGCTGTTTATGTTTTGCCCATTCTGTGGTGGATAAAAAGTGGTCCAAGGCACCTCTTCTATGCCCAAGAGATGCCTTTGACCTCTTACTGTTTGAATCTGGTTTGGAGTTGTCCACACTCTCGCATATTGGAAATGAAAGGTCCTAAAGAACTTTTTCCTGCATGGAATGCCAACTAACTGCCTGTTTTTCGCCAATAAATGGGTCTTGGCTCCTCTATGTTGCTGTCATCACACTCTCCAACCCAGGTGTGTCACCCACTATTGAAGATTAAACAACAGTGTAAGTGCTTGAGCAGACTGTGATCATGTCTGATTTGGAAGAGAACAATACTCACATATACCTTAATGGAAAGAATGACCAGACCTTTGGCAATGTTATGAATGCTGAAAGAACACAATAACCAGCTCAGCTTACACTCAAAAAGTGTTCCTAACATTAAAAGAGATATACTTGGTAGAAACCGAAAACTGTAATAAAATAGAATTCTGCTGTTGGCAGAGCGTATGTATTTATACATTCTTCTGTGTTTAGTTCAATGGTTAGAGAGCACTTCCTGGAAAGGCCTGGTACACAAATGTTTTTAATTTGAGCTTGCACATTTCATCTAACTGGTCCTCAGGACAAGGTTCACTACCCTGGAGGTGGCTTGACTCAGTGTTTAAAACACACTAATGAATTTCAGGTTTGGGACAGAGAAAAAGGCTGCTGTATATTGGACAGTCGTGTGAACTTGGAGTTATTTCCCATGAATGTCTTAAATCGGTATGTAATGTCGCTCTGGAGAGTGGGATGTTCTGTCTCCAAACAGAACTGACTGTCCTGGGTCTGGGGATTTAGCTCAGTGGCACAAGTGCTTGCCTGGCAAGTGTGAGGTCAACCAGTACCAAAAAGAAAAAAAAAAAAAAACGAACTGATTACCCTTGCCAAAGATACTTGATTCTTGCCTATATTTATTGTGAGTTTGGCAGAATCCTTCATTTTAATAAGGGGAGGCTGAGGAAGGACAAAGATTGTCCTTGTACAATTAGATATATTGAAGGACACTTAAAAATAACCCTTAGCCAGGGGTCTAACTCAGCAGTACAGCACATGCAAAGCCTCAGAAAGCCCTGAGTTCTAGCCCCAGGGCCCCCCCAAAAAAATGCTTAACCTATGCACTTTATGCAGATATCATCAGCAAGAGTTTAAGGTTTCCATCCTCAGCTCATACCCCCTCCACAGTCACGGAGTGCTAACTGGAGCTGAATATGGAACTTGTTTTATGTAAATAGAAAGGAAAGAAGCTAATGCATTCACAGCCAGCCTCTAGTCAGGACTTCAAAGCCTGAACCATATGTTACCACCACTCTACCCTACACACCTTTGGCAGGGCCTACGGACTTGGCTCTGACTAGTTTAAAAGACAAGCAATTCTTTGGCTTTGCAAATGACTTTTTCTATATACTCAGATTGAGTCATGATTTCTGTTGGGCCTCTAAGAAAAACAAAGGGCAGATTTCACAGACTCTTTCATCAGTGGAAGTTTGACTGTAATTTCTTTATAGAGAGAGAATTTCTGTTTCTCTGTGTAATGCGTTTGTCTCAGCTGTGCTATTCATCATCTGTGAGGCTGTGCACGGGTTGTGCTAGCTTGCAGACTAGGCCCGTTTCCTCCCTAATTGAAGTAGGGGGGCAAAAGATCTCCTAAGAGCCTTTGTCGCTATTACAATTTGAAGTTCTATTTCGTGTGTTTCATGAAAGTTGGAGCATCAGTTGTGTTGGTCAGGTAAACTATCTAGGTTGTCTAGCTGACACACTTTCCTGGCGGACAGGTGTGAACAAATAACACTCAAGTACGGCAGGGAATTTGTGTTGGGTTTGCGGACTAGACTGTGCTCCTAAATGCCAGCCAGGGATTGTCAGGTGACAGTGTCACAGGGATTGTATCCTGTCTGGGATCCTGAGTGACAGCATGAGCTAGTCCAGTGTGCTGTCTGGCTCACACTCATGTTGTGCCTACTAACCCACATGTCCTAGCTTCACAGCCTTTAGGGAGTTACCTCATGGTTCACAAACTTCTGTGCAGTCATCTTAAAAATGAGGTTAATGAAGTTAATAGGGCTTGTCGGCGCCTGCCTGACAAGTGCAAGATGAGTTCAATTCCTGGTACCAAAAAAAAAAGTACAACTTTTTTGGTGTGAAAATGTCTTAAAAAATATTATATATGAAAACATCTAACAACTAATTGAAGGTAAGTAGAAATATATAGGTAACTAAAATTAAAACAACCATTTATAAAAACCCATATAAATCCAGGCATGGTGGTGCATGCTTATAATCCCAGCACTCTGGAGACTAGGCAGGAGGGTCACCACAAGTTCAAGGCCAGCCTGAACTGCATAGCAAGACTCTGCCTCAAAAAAAAAAAAAAAAAAAAAAACCTAAATAGGGCTTGAAGTTTAGCTCAGTGCCTGCCTGGCAAGCACGAGGTCATAGTTTGATCCTCTGTACCAAAAAAAAAAAAAACAACCCTAAATAAGGGCCGAAAATTTAGCTCAGTGATGTAAGCACCTTCCTGGCAAGTGGGAGGTTGTGAGTTCAATCCCTGGCACCAAAAAGAAGAAAAACGAAATAAATACCCATGTAAGATAATATAAAAACTGACAGGGGAAACATAAGCCATATGTCACAGAGTACTTTAGGGCATATTATCTTTGAATCTTTACAACCTCATTTTACAGATGGAAAGATGCTGGGATGTTCCCAGGGTAACGACACCTGGAGTTGAGATTCACAGTCTTCTGATTCCAACTTGTGTTTCTTTTACAGTATACCCCTAATGCATATATTTATGATTAAAGTTAGAATTGATGATTCTACACAGGGAAATAAGTGATCAAAATGGAAACAATATCTATTGGGGAGGGTTCCAAATATGCTTTTTTATATGACTAGATCTAAAATGCCACTTAAGATAAACTCAGGAAACTGGGCCAGTCACTCATTCTGTTTGATATTAACCCTGAAACAGCTCCTGAGGATAGCTGGAAGATTTGAATATCTCTGGAATGTCACTGTCCAGTTTCGAAATAATTTTATAAATGGGTTTCTTCCAGGATGGATCTGAGTCTTTCCCCGCGGATACAGCCCTGAAGAACTCCTGTAACGTCAAGCTGGCGATTTCCAAGAAGCAATCAGGAACCTGCATTCCCAAAGAGACCCCCAAGAAAGAGAAGACATGAGGCTGGGAAGCACCAGCACCACAGAGAGGCCCTGCCAGATGCCATCCGTTCCTTGAGTGGTGGCTAAAAACCTCCATGTTCTACCAGCCCTGGATTTCTGCAGCCCTGAAACAAACACACCACAAACACAAACCTTAAAATGACCTTAAAGTGAGATAGCCCTGAAACAAAATGTATTTTGTGGGAGGAACCAGTTCCACTAGTGGATACCTTTTAATAAGTAGGAAATGCTAATTGAGAGTAAATATGTGCTCCAAAGTATTCTTTTCCTTATACCTTTTGCAGAAAAGTGTCCCTAAGCCCATGACTGCTGAATTTCATCCAACCACTTTTTAGGGCTGGACCTTGAGGGCTTACATTCCTCAAACCTGTTAAGTAGGGCTGTTGCAGAACCCTCGCCAAAACTGGCATGGTAAGAGATCCTCCAGGTCCAGCTTGACCTGGGCCTGAGGCCAGTGTAGGCTTATGTTTCCAAACATGCTGGCTGAAAATCCGATCAGTGGACACCAGTAGTTCTTAACATTCTTGGAAATGACAGTAAACTGCTCCTGTAGTCACAGTCAACTGGGAGGCAAGAAAAGGGAAACATAGGCTGACCACCTGCAACCTGCAAAGTAAGAGGCCAGCCCAACAGCCATCAGCCACCCAAGCGGCCATACCTGTCTCATGATGAGAATTCACACCAATAACACCCAGGCTGGCTTTAAGGTGCCACCAGCATGCCTTTATGAAGATCCTGCAGGCTGGTCTCGAACTTACTGCCCTCCTAAGTAGCTAGGAGTATAAGCATGTACTACATGCATGTTCATTTGTTATTTCCGGGATGAATTTGAGGTGACTTGCCATGAAAGACCAACAGATAAAAGACTATTCACGTGAGAATACAGGAAAGAACTAAATGAGAAAAAGAACAGGAATTGTTAAGAAAACCTAGGCCAAGATAGCTGCACCTGAGCACAGCATTTATTCCTGAGCTTCCTAATATTAAGGCAAAAACAAGCTATCTGACTTGATAATTCCAAAGCATTAAGTCTAGACTAGCCTTAAGCCTGGTGGGCTGCTATACAAGCTTCAGCATGCAGACAAGCTGTTATTTGCTGCATCTACCTGTTGCCTGAAAAGAAGTTGTAGCTGTCATCTCTGGGTGAGATTGGCCACAGGCCACCAAGATTCTCAGTGAAGAGCTCTTTTCTGAAACACCAAACATTTAGGGAAGTCACACCTCAAAATACCTCATGGAACCCTGGTACTTTGTCTTACCTCAAAGTCACTTCCTTTGTTATAGTGCGTATTAAGAGCTCGAAAAAGTTCTGAGTCACGGAGAACTACCAGCATTTTGGGATTTGTGATGCCATCTGAAATTGCTTGCCGGGCGGATTTTTCCATTTGGATGTAATAAAACTCACGAAAGTTGCTGAACCACTTGATCATCTGGGAGGTAATGCAGCGGTTGAACTGTGCAAACAAGAGATCCATCAAGTCAGACATCTGCCGTGAGGGGCTCACAACCAGAACCGTGAGCAGCCAGAGGGGCAACAGTGTAATAGGGCCTTCCTTCTGAAAAAGAAGCTACATGGTTTTCCTACTCAGTTGGACTCAAAAATCTGAATTAGCTCCAATGCCCATTTATAAAGAATTTTATGGACTGAATTTATATTTTCACCCATGAGAACCTTTTTGTACTGTTGAAGTGTGACTTTGGGAGTGTCATCGAGGGTCAAGACCACTGTGGTGCTAGCATGGCAGCTCAAGGGCCTTCTGCCTGCTGAGGAGGGTCTTAGTAGTTTATCGCCAACTTGGAGTTGCAGAATTACAGTTTTCTTCAGGGATCAACCAAGCAACTGAATATGAGGGAAGGAGCTGAAAAAGCTTGAAAGGAATGAATCCAAAATATTAACAGCTCCTACCCCACACCCTGGGTAAAAGAGGTCCTCAGATTCTTTCTATGGCAACAGGCAAAGGTTGGCTGCAACACTGGCTTCTGATACTTTTCACTCAGTTTGGAAACAGTGACCTGAATGCAGATTTGACACTGTGTGACTTTGTGCACAGTCTTAAGGTCAACGTACATAAAGCCAGGAAACTAGGCCAAAGGGTCCACTTACTACTGGTGTTTCTCTTTTCCTCTGCCTTTCCGTGTGTTCCTAGGATTATCCACAGCTCAAAAGTCTAAAACCTCAGATAGCCAAACTTCCTAGCCCAAAGCTCTCCATGTGTGATTATTCCAGCACTCTCTCCCCAGACCTAGAACTTGCACGAGCCCATCAACAGCACAGAGAACTTGCAGCAGGGACCTTGAACTTGCCTCCCACAAGGCAAAACATCCTGCCACTAATTATGCAGAGGATGAGCCTCCGTTAATGACTTTACCTGAACATCAGGGAAATAAGCCTTCAGGAGGTTGGAGCTGGGGTATCGTGCGAAGAAAAACATGAGTTTGGCCTTCTTCAAGTGACCAGGGTTTAGGCCTTCCTGGATTTATTTCATTGTCAAGGAAAATCAACATTTTAAAACACCAGTTTATCAATTTCTTTTTTCAGATCATCCAAATAGTGTTTGCCCCATTCCTTGTGACTTCTATTCTCTCTCTCTCTCTCTCTCTCTCTCTCTCTCTCTGTGAGTGTGTGTGTGTGTGTGTCTGTCTGTCTGTCTGTCTCTCCCTCTCTCTGGTTGAATGGAATATTTTCTTTATTTTTCTCTTTCTGAAAACTTGTCAGATCAGCTGGATGCAATACACACAGTTAAGCTACAGAATTCGAAAACCACCTTGTGTGTAAAAGGGTATCACATGGCATGCGTAGATACTGTTGTGCTGTGTGTATTCACTCTTTTGAGAGTGAGATGAGTAGCTCTATCCTAGATAAACCATTTTGAAACCCTATGTAAAGACTGATTTCCCCTCTGCCTCAGCTTCTTCCCCTGGAGAGTGAGAGCTGCCCATAAGGCCTCCAACCCGGCTGTCATTCTAATTCCCCTGCAGCTGTAACCCAGGCGGCATGAGGCCAGGCCGGGTGCCAGTCCCTACTGTGCTCTTGCTCAGTGAAGAAACGTGAACTGTTGGCTGCGCCTGCCTCTCACTCTTCCCAGCCAGAAGATCAGTTCCCTGTGGAGCCTTTCCTCGTCTAATTAGGCCTTCCTCACCCTGAGCTCCCAAAGCTCTTTGTACAAAACTGTGTCATAGCAATGACCTTATAGAATTTTTAACCGCATGTTACCTCCCCATTTAGACTGTGAGCTCTTTGAGGGCAAGGACCGTATTTTTTTAATCTTTGTGTTCTATGTGCCTAGCACTAAACTAGGCACATAGTAGGTGCTCAATAAATGTGTGTTGGGTGAAGGAGTGAGTCAACCTTAATCCGTACACATACATGGAAATCAGGCTCCAAAGCGTACCTCTCACCCTGGGACAGATTCCTTTCTATGTAACAAGAACAGGAATCTGTGGTGCAACTCCCTGGTACCACTGAGGGCAGAAATAAAGACACATAAGATTGGTTAGCATCGGCTGGTCTGATGGCAGTGGGTTATCAGAACTTATTAACATTAGTGTCACTAAAGTTGGTATACCATCCCCCTCCACTGCTAAATTTGACTGGCTAAAAAAAAAAAAAAAAAAAAAAAAAGATTGGTTAGCATTTGGGGCTGGGGATTTAGCTTAGCGGCATAAGCACCTGCCTTGCAAGCAGGCAGTCGTGAGTTCGATCCCCAGTACAGATAAAAAGGAAAAAGACCAAAAAAAAAAAAGATTGGTTAGCATTCCCAAGGACACTCAGGCTGAGGGAAAAGAATCCTACTGATTAACTACAATCAGGTCTGTGAGTGCAGATAGGACAATTAAGACTTAGCAGTAGGGTAAATTATTTTAACCGAAAAAGCCAGGCCCACTGTGGTTATGGCTGACCTAAAACAGCTATGTGAAAGACCCTTGTCGCTTGCCCTGTTGGCCCTACTCATCATTCCTACAGGCTCACTAGTGCTGTAGGAAAGAATCTAGAATTTGGGAATGTACAGAAACTGACTTGGCCACTTGGTAGCTGTGTGGCCTTGAGCAAGCCACTTAACTTCTCTGGGCCACCTTTCTGAAACATAGACTGTAGTAGTCAAGGCTTGTGCGTGGCTGTCAGACTCTGAATTTGAATCTTGGCTCCTCACTGTCTCTCTGTTGCTTTTGGGCAAGTTAGTTTGTTTCTTGCCTCTGCCTCTCAGTTGCCTGACCCTAGAGTAGGCACGTGAGATACTCCAGGCCCACAACCCATTATCTGAAACACTGGGCCAATGGAGTTCCAGTTGCAGAATTTGTTATTTTGTAAGTCATAATGTGTGTTTACCATATGCTAGTTAATACCCACTGCAGAGACAGTCTAATCCACTATACTAACATTCCCACAGCAAAATGCATGGCTTTATGCTAAGTGGGGTAGTTGATAAATAGCCTCCAGTCTGTGTAGGTCAGGTTTTGCCACCAAAAAAGTTTGAATCACTTTTAAGGGGGAAAAAAAATCACAGGACTTTTCAGAGCTTTGTGATCTTCCAAATCGTGGCTCAGGAAGCAGGCACACACAAGCCACCTACCTCAGAGATGTGCTCAGTGACTCCCATGCCCGCTGTGACCTTCACCCCTGTCCTGCCTCGTTCCTAGGAAGGCCTGTGGCTGTGAACACCCCTTTTCACAGTAAAGCAGCCTATTCCACACCTGAGGGTAGCTATATTCCACCGTCAGCAGTGGAATATAGGCAGCAGAAAAGAGGAAAAGTGTAGGGCCTAAGACGTTGCCCAGGGCCTCCAAAGCATTCCCCAGTCCTTCACCCGTGCAAGTGGGCCTCGTCTAGGTGTTTCTTAGCATGAGCCCAAAACCTCCTGAAACTGCACCCGTTCCACAGGGCAGGGACAGGCATATGTCTTGACAAATCCCTGCAGTGTTGAGGACCCAGTCTTCCAAGGGTCTTTCCCCAGTGCCTAAATAAATTTAATGGGGATCTTTTATCAACGGCCCAGACAGGTGGCCTTTTTTACACAGAAAAATCAGTCTCCGCTGGTATCGCTTTGCTTCCAAGGCTATTCCTACTGCCTGAACAGGGAGTGGTAGCAGACACAGTTCTTGGTTTTAGGGTTGTTTGCTGCTCTCCAGCAAAGCCTGAACTTTATCACCAGCAGGGGGCGCACATAGCACTTAGGACGCAGGGTGGCTCTGGTGTAGTGAGCCCACCCATTTCCATCCCATTCTGCTGCTGCTAAGCAGAGCACAGAACTGTTCAGGCCTTGATATTAAACTCCACAGATACAGTAACTTTTGGAACTTGGGCTTAAGGCCGTGCATAAGAAACAGCAAGGTGGGCACAACTTTTTTTCTTTTTTCTTTTCTCTTTTTCCTATTTATCGGTACCGGGGATCAAACTCACTGCCTGCTTGTAAGGCAGGCGCTTATGCCACTGAGCTAAACCTCCAGCCCCAACTTTCTTAACATCCATTGGGCAAGGTGGCACATGCCTGTAAGCCCAGCACTCTGGAGATTGAGGCAGGAGGATAGCCATAAATTAGACGCCAGTCTGAGCAGCTACATAGTGACTTCAAGGCCAACTTGAACTACATTTTTAAAAAAAGAGCATCCAAAGTAATGTTCTCAGGAACTTTAGTCCTGCAAATTCTTGTTGGAAGAGGGTTCTTTGGGGCTGCCTAGATTCTCCTCCCCAAGCTTCACATCAGACCAGCATGTTAAAGGCTCTGAGGGGCCCCAAACTAAAGAAAATAACCCAGAATCTGCCACTACATTTTCTTCTCTAACTGAATAACTTACTATCTTCACGTTATTCCTGGAACACTACAGGCTTCCCCACTGCAGGGGGTGGGTCCTCTCCCCCTGTGCCCAGCCCTAGGCTCCAACCCAGCTTGGAAGGAAGCTGTCCCCTAAGTTGAAGTCCTCTGACTTCTTCAAGACAACTGCATTTCTATTTCTAATCTCTAAAGAAAAGTACTCTTTTGCCCCAGAAGATCCCCTATGGATTATCTAGTCCATGCACTCTTGGAGAGCCATGAGGAAAGGTTGTTGGGGAAACCACATATCAGATGAGATCATTCCTTTGACACTCTCTGCCTAGGAATATGAGAAGCTGGCAACCAAATTACAGGCTCTTCCTCCCACAGGATAATCATAATCTTGGAAGCCAATTTGGGTTTAAAGGTAAACAAATCAAATCTGCCAGACCCAAAGGAAAAAGTCAGTCATGGCAGAATCTGATGGGTCACAGAATAAAGTAAATGAACCTTCCCAGAATCCCTAAATTCTAGAATGTGGTTTCCGCTTGGTCAGTAAATAAGTTGTAAGGCATGAGAAAGGAAGGTCCTAGAGCAATTTGAAGCCCATGGGAAGCCTGGAGTGGTGGCACTGTGCCTGTAATCCTGGCTGAGGCAGGAAGATCACAAGTTTGAGCCCTTGCTGAGGCAAGATCTTCTCTTAAAATTTAAAAGGGCTGGGGATGTAGCTTAATGTGAAGACCCTCGGTTAAATATTCCTAGAGACAGACAGAGACACAGAGAGAAAGCGAAGGGGAGAGGAAGGAAAGAGGAAGGCAGGGAGACGATGAGAATGAGGATGAATGGAGAGAAGAAAAAGACCGGGAACCAATCTATTCCATGTGCACCATGGTGACTACAGTGTCTCCACCTCCATCTCAGCTTCCAGCCTTCTCATTTCTCGGGGCAGTGACCATGAGATTGTCAATGACTAGTAAAGGATATGTGGACAGAAGAGAAAGCAAGCACATCCGACACGGGCTGCAGGCTGCCCTGCTCCATCTTCACGGAGGCAAGGAGGGGCCGGCTCTCCAGACCGGCCATGGTGAAAGGCTGGCTCAGAACCCAAGGGCGCAGGGCAGACTCTGAGGAGGGGTGCTGTTGGGGAGGTAAGTCCTGGGAAGGTCCACTGCTCCGATGGCCACTGGGTCCATAACTCAGTAGCTGGCTAAGAATCTGATTTTCCTGAATGTGGGAATGTACTGTCAAAGGACAATTTGCTATGGGACCCCGCAAGGATCTGGGGATGGTTCTTGGAGAGACAGAGTACCTAGGAGACTCTAGAGGCTTGGCCAGTGGTAAATTTCCCAAAGAGACACCACCTTGTGGCTGGACTCTCCTAGGAAAGGCCAGTACATGTGTGTCTTTATAGGTAGCTTCTTCAGGAGAGGGCTCGCCACTGCCCTCTAGTCCCTGGAAACTCCTGCCTTGCTGGGTCAGGTGGCTGGGTGGATCCACAAGCACCTTTTGTAATACTGAGTCCACAGCCTGGGACACTGCCCTGGTCAGTTCTTTCTTCAGAATCTCCAGCAAAGTCTGTGCTCCAGAAGGAAGGGATCTGAGTTCTTCAGATGGATGTTGGACCTCAGACACTCTGTGTTCTTCTGCCCCACTGAGGTCCTTGCAGGAACTCTGGTAGTGGTCACTGTTGACAACCCAGAGCTGAGGTCTGCAGCCACGCCTCTGCTTTCCACTCAGAGGGTCTTTCCCTGGCTCCGAGCATCCCAGAGCCTGAGTTGTGGCCCCGGGAACAGCAGCCTGCAGAATGTGCTCTTGCAGACACCTTAGCTGTTGCTTCAGCTGATGAAGTTGTTCTCTCACCCTGGGACCCCCCTTCCTGTTGGATTGGTTTCTGGCAGGGCCTGGCTGCAGGAGGACTTGCTGCACAGGAAGTCTCTGCTTCCTCTTCCTCTCTGAGGCCTTCTCTAAGTAGCATGTGCTGCCCCTGGCTCGGGCATTGCCTGGCATCAGGGGCCTGGGGGAAAGACAGATGCCTCGGATGATGGTCTCCACTCTGGCTCTCTTCGCCTGGATGTGTTCATCCCAAAGCCAGCCGGGGTCAGCGAGGCTGGAGCTGGGCACCTGGCCCCAGGGAAGCGGGGAGGCTCTACCCAGCTCTTGGCTAGATGGGCTTCTCTCACTTTCCATACCGCATTCTGCCAGGTGGGAGTAGGCCTGGGACTGAGTAGAAAGCAAGATGGGATTTGGCTCCATCGCCTGGCTCCCCAGGCACTTACACAGAGCTCTGTGAAGAAGCCAAGGATTTCGGGAGCCTCCTTGGCCTCCTCAGGCACACGTGGATTGAACCTGAGGGACCGCCCCTCACTCCAAAGGGCAAAGCAGTGCTCCTGGAGAAGAATGCACACACAGAGGTTCCAGACGTAAGAACTGCTGGGCAAGTGCCTGAAATTAGAGACAGGAAGATAAGAGCATGACTTGGAACAGTACTTAATCAAATCTGAGTGTGCCAAGGAATCTCTGAGATCTTGGTAAAATGCATCCTTCAATTTAGCAAATCTGGAATGGGGCAGTTTGCAGTCTAACCAGCTGCGTGGTGATGGTGATCAGGACCCTACTCTTTATGTTGTTGTTATTTGTTTGTTTTTGTCTTTTTGGGACAGGGTCTCACTATGCAGTTCAGGCTGGCCTTGGGCTCACTTTGTAGCCCAGGCTGGTCTCGAATTTGCAATGATCCTCCTGCCTCAGCCTCCTGAGTGCTGGGATTACAGGAGTGCGCCATCATACACTCAAGACCCTACTTCTAAGGAGATTCCAAGAGTGAACCTCCAGGGTGAAAGACCTTCTGCCAGGGCATAACATTAGATAATAAAAATCGAACAACTGGAATTATGTCAAGAACTTTACACCCATTACCTAACACTCCTATCATCTACAAAGAAGGACAAGGCCTCTGAGGAGTTAGGGAGTTTCCTACCTAAGGTCACACAACTAATAAGTGAAAGGCTGGAATCAAACCAAGATTTGTCAGATTTGGGGTGACTGTGGACAGCAGAACTCCTGGGCATTGTTTAAAATAACAAATTCGTTCCACACAGCCAGACCTGCTAAACTGACCCTCAGTTGCTAGAATAGGAACCTACACTTGAAAGAAGCAAACTAAAAGTTTGGGAACCGTTGCCATTTGCCCATTATGCTGCCCTGCCTCTTGGGAAAAGCAGATAAGACATTTATTAGTCAACTATTTATTTCACAATGATTATTGAGCACCTGCTTTGTGTCAGGCCTTCTGGACAGTAGAAAGGACAGCAGTGATGGAGACCAACTGCTCTCAGGAAAGTGGAGCCAGCAGGGGGAGGTGCATTTTCAGGGCTTGGCACCTGCCATTAAAAATAAATAAATAAAGCACAATGAAGGGCTGCAAACTGGGGAGACAGGACAAGGAAAGAAGGGAGCTTTATTAGGAAAAGACTGAACTGAACCCAGGGCCTTCACGCTGAGCTACAGTCACACGCCTCATCCCGTTACTTTTTTCCCAAATCCATTTTATTTCAAGGAAAATAAGTGGGGAAAAAAAGAAAAAAAACTAAAAATTTTAAAACATGTCAATCGGGGCAACAATGTACACACATTGCACATTGTCATCCCCAAATCATTCACCCAGAGCACAAGACATCTGCATTCAGGTGTCCAGACAATACCAGCACAAATCTTTCCCTTCAGTGAACTCAGAGAAATCACTAGTACAGCTATCCTTAACTAGTGTTTTTTTTTGTGTGTGTGTACGTACACACACACACAAATACATATACATATCCCTCTGATTTCTTTCAGCTTCTCTCACTGAGACAATACAATGTTTTCACATGTGTATCCTATTTATTTCACTAAAAAGTATAGTCTCAAGTTGCATCCATTTACCTATAAAAATCTCCAGTCTATCTTTCTTTATGGTAAGTAGTACTCCATTGTAGAAAAATACATCTTTTTTTTTTTTTTCTTTTGTACTGGGGATTGAACTCACAACCTCACGCTTGCAAGGCAGGTGCTTATGCTGCTGAGCTAAATGCCACCCCCAAAGAAGTTAGATTTTTTTTCATGTTTTTTATTCATTCTTCAGTCAATGGGCATTTGTGTTGTTCACAAAATCTGGCTACTACAAATTGTGCTGCTATAAACATGGATGCACATATATCACTGTGGTATGATGTTTTCAGTTCTTTTGGGAAGATACCCAGAAGGAGAATTTCTGGATTGAATGGGAACTCTAGTCTTAGTTTTTTGAGGAATCTCCACATTGATTTACACAGTGCTCTCACCAGTCTGCATTCCCACCAACAGTGGAAAAGGGTTCCTTTTTCTCCACAGTCCTTCCAGCATGTGTTTTTGTTTGATTTCTTGATAATAACAACTCTTTCCCCTTTTCCCTTATTTTGAGACAGAGTCTTGCTAAACTGCTGGCTAAGCTGCCCAGCCTGTGCTTGAACTTGTGACCCTCCTATCTCAGCCTCCCAGAGTGCTAGGATTGCAAGTGAGCACCACTATGGCCAGGTAGGTATTTTTTTCTCTTCTACAAACTTTCACTCTTCTTTGCTTCTCACATACAGTGGTAGAAGAGAGTTGACTTTTCTTTCTTTTTTTTTTAATTTTTTTTTTTTTGTTGTTGTTCTTTTTCCTTTTTTATTGGTACAGGAGATCGAACTCACGACTGCCTACTTGCAAGGCAGGCGCTTATGCCGCTGAGCTAAATCCCCGGCCCCAAGAGTTGACTTTTCTTTTGCCTATTTTTTTTTACCTTTTGGAATACAGGAATTTTTTGTTGTTAATGTTTTTGAGAAAGGATTTCACTCTCCATTGTAGGCTGCTTTTTTTTGGCGGGGGTGGGGGGGAGTACCAGGGATCAAACTCACAGCCTTGCGCCTGCCAGGCAGGTGCTTATGCCACTAAGTTAAATCCCTGGCCCCTCCAGGCTGCTCTTGAATACACTGTGTAGCCCAGGCTGGTCTCGAATTTGCCACAATCCTCCTACCTCAGCCTTCTGAGTCATTGGATTAACCACAGGGGTCACCACATCCAGCATGGGAATTTTAAGAACAGAGGCCCAAGTTCTGCTTCTCAATTACTACTATCCTCCAAAGGAGTCATTCTAGGCTACTACTATATCTTTTCTGTTAATATAAAACATTGCTTCAGGGCCAGGGATTTAGCTCAGCAGCATAAGCACCTGCCTTGCAAGCACACGATCGTGAGTAAGATTGCTAGTACCCAAACAAACAAAAAACATTGCTTCAAAATTCTAAAGGAGGCCAGGAATACAGCTCAGCAGTTCAATTCCCAGTACTCCCCCCAAAAAAAAATTCTAAAGGAGTATGGCAGCAATTCATATAAAAGCATTTTGAAATAAGATATCCCTATTAAATAAAATAAAACTAATAAAATTAATATGCTCTCCATCTAATTACAAAAATTATCAAAGTGTTGATCACATAAAAAAGCCAGACCACCATTTACCTTCAGTGTCTGCGTTGGAGGACAGGGAGACGCGGATACAGTACCAGTTACCTCAGGCCTACAGGCAGCATGCTGAGGGCAAAGGCCCTTGGTTTGGTCTAGTGTGGTAGTGCACACCTGTAATCTCAGCACTTGGGGAGCTTAGGCAGGAGGATCACGGCAAGTCTGAGGCCAGCCTAGACTGCCAAGTGAGTTCAAAGCCAGCCTGTACTGCATGAAACCCTGTCTCAAAAAGACAAAAGAAAAGGGGGGGGGCTGAGGATGGAGCGCAGCATGAAAGCCCAGTTCAAGTCCCAGTACCAAGAAAAAAGACCCTTGTTTTTCCCAGTGTTGTGTTTCCTCACATACAGAATCGAGGCAGGTGGGTGGGCTACCTGACTTTTTTTTTTTTTTTTGTCTTTTTCCTTTTTATGGGTACCAGGGATCGAACTCACGACTGCCTGCTTACAAGGCAGGCGCTTATGCCACTGAGCTAAATCCCCAGCCCCTTGACTTTTTTTTTTAAAGGAAATAAAACAAAACAATAAAACAGAACACTGGATTTCAAAAACAAGACGGAATGAAATCCCCCATACTTGCTAAATTGCATATTGTTATGCCCTAAATAAATGCTCAGACTACCAGCTTTAGGCCTGCAAAGTCAATGAAACAGTACAAGTATTAAGTTGATTTTTTTTTTATTAACTTCAGTTGCTATCATCTCAGCCTGTGTTCCTCCAAATCAGCCTGTTGCTTGTGGGCGGGGGGGGGGGCAGCACTCTTCTCATCTCCCAACCCATGCTCCAGCTGGCTCATTGGAAGGCACGGGTTGGCTTCTTGGTTCTCCTCCTGGCCAATGACTTTTCTTTCTTTCTTTCTTTCTTTCTTTCTTTCTTTCTTTTTTTTTTTTTTTTTTTTTTTTTTTGAGACAGGGTCTCACTATACAGTTCAGGATGGCTTCAAATTCACAGTAATCCTCCTGTTTCAGCCTCCCAAGTGTTGAGATTACAGGTATGCACTACTACACCTAACCTACAAGGTTTTAAAAGACTTTCCAGCTAAAAGGAAATAAGCTTGAGATGGCATCTTTTAGGGAGACACGTGGCACAGCAAAAGGAATGGGTAATGGAGGACTTCTCCCCTAATACCATCACTCAGAACTGTTTTGCACTTTAGTTCAAGGAAATCTTTCTCAATGCTCCTGAGGGATACACAAAAAAGGCATTCAGCAACAAAATTTGGGGGGAAAAGTATAAAAAGGCCTTGCTAAGTCAGGCACAGTAGCACACATCTGTCATCTGAGTAATGTGAGAAGCTGAGGCAAAAGGATTGCAAGTTCAGAGCCAGTTTGACAATTTAGTGATAACTTAATTGTTTGTTCAAAACAAAGAAGGCCATGCCACATTTGAGTAGGACAAAAAACAAAAACAGCAATCACCATGTTAGTGTTGGCAGTCAGGATCTCTGCCTGTGAACTTTAGGAGCCAGAAGGACGGTTGGGAAAAGCTATCCAACAGACATACGGTGAATCCACATCTCCTGGCCCCCGGAACAGCAACTTGCATGAAACTGACTCTAACAGAAAGAATACAAGTTCAGCCAGAATTCTCCAGGAAAAAAAGAAAGAAAGAAAGAAAGAATACAAGAGAGTTAAGTGCAGGGCAGCTTTTTTTGTTTGTTTGTTTGGTCTTTGATCTAAAGAGGGCAATGGCTGTTCATTTTCTGTCCCCCATCATGTTTTTTTGAACCCTAACACACTGGCTTTGTTTTCAGATTGCATCCCTTTATTTTCCCCACAAGGGGGTCATGCTTTATAAACCTTAAGCAGAAGGCAGTTCCAGGAGTTCTTCAGCAAGCTCCAGCGCTTCCATGAGCTTTTCTGGGGTTTATAACCACAGGGGCCTTCAGGCTTCAAATATTAAGGCTGCTTCACAGCCACTTCATCTGAATCTCCT